GACCGAGTTCGTTACGGTCGTAAACGAAGGCAAAGCTCGTTACTTTTTTCCGGCAGTTCGTCAAAACAACGGCGACGCGAGAGGAGGCGAGACTTCGGTGGCGAGGTCGAGAGCGTTTAGGTCGCTCGGTCACGTTCGACCACTCTCGAGGAGGGGGGAGAGGAGAAAAAGGAAAGAGAAAGAGAGAGAGAGAGAAAAGGGAAAAAAACCGCGAAGGGGAGACAAAGGAAAGCTTGGAAGCAGGAGGCTCTCTAAGCACGCAGCCACGCAGGCACGTAGGCACGCCAGCAGCGCGGAGATACGTACATTACGTATACGCGTGATGCGTGTTGCGCGTAGAAACGCACACCGGAGACACGTGATACAAGCTCGTATACGTATCCCACGCTACTTGGCCGGCGTTGGGAAGCGACTACGATGTCGGATCCTACCTACCAGTATCTATCTATCGTGCGTTTACGTACGTGTCTACGTACTCGCATTGTTTCACGGGGCGCAACGAGGCTCGTGCGATGGTGCGGGGGTCCCATCGGAAGTGTGGAAGGGACGAGAGGCGGAAAAGTAATGGAGAAAAGATAAACGAGACGGGAAATTTTCACGATAATTGGACAACGCATAGGCGTAAGAATACCGATATATCGTCTTCCTTATCGGTTAAGTCCCCAGAGACTTTGACTCGTGTCAGTCGAGGGAGACGCGAGAGGAGAGGTTTTCCCAAGATTCGATCGGTCCACATACACCACATACGCACACCTCTTAATTGCTCCCACTTTCTTATCTTTCGATCTCCCCTTCGAGATCCTGGTTGCCTGGTTGTTTCTTTTCTCAACGAGAGAATCTATGAGATCGTTTCATTTCGGAAAGAAAGAGAGTAGAGTGGAGTAGGTCGTCGTGCGATCTTTTCCGCGGAAACGCGACCTTCTTTCTTTCTTCTCTCGTACGCGAACGCATTTTCGGTCCGTACGGTTCGTATCTACTAGCGGAGTCTCGTTTTTGTTTCGCCTACGGACCATCATCATATCCATGTTCCATCGATCGAACAACGCCAATCGAAGAGAATTTTGACGGTGTTCGGTGTGGAAACTGTTCTGGTATCTGGCGTACCGTGACGCGAACAGGGTTAAATTTAACTTCGATCTTCTCTTAGGAAACGTTGAACCCAAGACCTTTCTCCCTCTTTCTCTCTCTCTCTCTCTCTCTCTCTCTCTCTCTCTCTCTCTCTCTCTCTTTCTCGTTCTCGTTCTCTTCCTCCTCCGTTCGTTCGGCTGGCCAGTCGCTTTTGCTCGAAAGCCCTCCGTCCTTCCTCGCTGTGGATTCGCCGTGGTTCGTCTACAAATATAGGTAGTGGTCAGAGTCCGCGATTCGCGCGCGGTTTTCGCTTCGAAACACCGGCCAGAGTGTTATTCCTGTCGAGTAACAGAAACAGCCGCGATATCCGGCTTTCTTAGTTATCCGGTGTTTCAACAACACGCCACGTGTTCTTTCTTATCGGCCTCTCGAAACCGACGTCGTTTACACGTTTCTTTCTCATTTCGTAAACGACCACGGTTTCGACCGATGCCCGCTCCCGCCGCATCTCATCTCGTCACGCCTTCCATTTTTTTTCCCGCCCTCGCTTTTAACGCCACGTCGAACACCGACAGACAGACAGACAGACCGACCGACCGACCGACCGACCACCGCTCGCCTCGCCAACACGAACTCCAGGAATGCTCTTCACGGTATACGTACGAGAGATAAGCGCTCTCGAGCCTGAGAGGAGAGAAAGAGAGAAAGAGAGAGAGAGAGTTTTTTGTCGTCGATCCACCGTTTTCTGCGGCCACGAAATGAAAGAGCCTCTTGTTACACGCGGCTCTCCCGGGGCCATGCGGTTTTACTCAGCTTCTCCTTTCTCGCGAGATGACGACCTTTTCCATCGTCTTCGACGCCCGAACCGGGACAGGGACCGTTGCGTTATACACGGTGTCCCAGAACAATCGAACGAAGAGAAGAAAATAATTCGTAATAATTCGTTTTCAAATGCCAGTTTTGTTTTCGCGTTTAATTTTGACAGAGAGAAAAAAGATTAAATAGGTGTGTTCACGTGAGCGTGAAACGGGGTCCACCCAATATCGGTATCGGACTAGCGGTATACGCGTAACGTCTCGTAACGCGTCCGATTCGAGGACGAGGTTTCCACCCAGGTTGGAAACCTCGTATTTGTTCGAGCAGCAGGCTACGCGTATCGCGGTGGACGCGAACGACGGCTGAGAGAATCAGGAATTCCAAGGTCGACGAAAGGCGGGGACGGTAGTAGTAGCGTGCAAGGAAAGCGACCGCGCTCGTATGGGGCGTAGGTGGATGCGTTCCATATACCGGCGGCTGGCATCGTCGTTGCTCGGCATCCATTTTCGAAGGCATCGCGCTCCGTCGCTTCGCCCATGGCGTCGCGATACGCCATGGAGAGAGAGAGAGGGAGAGGGAGAGGGTCGAGCCGACCGGTTTCGCGTCTGGACCTATTCCATTGTAGAGAGACCGAGACAAAAGGAGCGGTAACGGCTTAGCAAATATCTCGCGTCTCTGTTAATGGCGCGGGGCTTTTTACGCCCTCGCGATATTCGCCACTCCGTCTCGCCACTCTTCTCCGATCCGTGGCGCGTTTTCTAATCTTGGCCGCCAATTAGACCTCGAAAGAGAGTTCAATAGGGGAGCCGGAGCGTCGTTTGAAGCGAGGAATAATAGGGCGGTGTTAAAGAACGATACTTGGGAACGGGAAACAGTTCCGGGAATGGAAACGAGTTTTCTCTCTTTCTCTCTTCCTTCCTTTCTTTCTTTCTTTCTTTCGAGAGAGAGAGAGAGAAATACAGGGACACGATTTATGGAACGGATAAACGCAGAAACGTTGCTTCCACGATTAGGGGTTGGAACGTGATCGATCAACGATTCGACGACGCGGGGGAAGAGACACCTCTCGTTCGAAACGAAACGACGAATATCGTCGCCTCCGTGTCGAGCCGTGTCGATGGTGGAACAAAGGCTGGCGCCGATAACAACGCGTGCACGTGGTGGAATGGTAACGGTAAGAAAGTCGAGCGGAGAGCGGTGGCATTGGTGGCTGGGTCTGGAGGAGAACACAGTGTCGGGGCCTGATGCAGCGGCGTTGCCAGCTCCCGCGTGCCGAGGCGAAGGCTCGACGGTGTTGCGAGATCGGGGAAGTTGCGACGTTGTCGGACGTGACGTTGTTTGGAAGGTTGGAAAGCTGCGAACGGGCAGGAGAGCGCGGCCTACAACAGGTAAGAGGCGGCGGGGAGCGGGAGGGGAGGAGGGGCGGGGGGGGGAGAAGAATAAGAAGAAGAGGACGTGGGAGAGGGAGGACGGGCGCGTAGAAAAGAAGCTCCTGCGAGAGAGGTGGTGGAGGGAAGAGTGTGGCGGTGAGGGGTCGGAGCTCTCGGTCACCGGCACGACCGTAGCACGTAACCGCGCCGCGGCGGTGTTGCCGCTTCCTAGTGTAATTCCTCCTCCCCCTCGCCCCCTCGCTGCTGCCGCTTTCGGGGCCCGAGCCCGGCCTGTTGCTCCTCTCCCGGCTCTCTCTGTCAAGATCTCTCTCCACGATTCTCGTTTCTCGGTTCGGGGACCATCTGCTCGCCCTCTCCTTCGCTCGGCCCCCGGGCCTTTGAATCTTTAATGGTTCGCGTGACTGGCCGTGGCAGCCACGGGAGGCTGCGCGAGGTCCGGTTGTTCCCTCTTCGCCTACCATCCTCTCCACCGTGCACAACACTTTTTCGCGCAAATGCACTTCGATTCGGCGGCAAGATCGAATCGAAGTGGCTAGGAGCACGCTTCGAACGCGGACGTTTACGTCGTCCACGACGCGTTTTAATCGCTCGGTGAAAAGTTGGAGAGGGCGCAGTGGGGGAAGAAGGAGGGGGAGGGGAGAAATCGGTCGTAGCGCAATTACCACAGCCGCAATTATTTCGACGATTTTGCCGGGCTTATCGGCCGCTGACCGTCCCTCCTCGGGTCGAGGGGAATGGAAGGTTCGTTAACGGGGCGGAATCGGCGGAATCGTTACCGTTTAATTAAGCGCATTTTCCACGCGTTTCGCGCGCAAATCTCGCCTCCCCCCTCCCTCTCCTCCGTTCGACTTTTAAAACGGTCGTGGAACCGATCGAGCAACGAACGTTTCCCCTTGGCCGAGTCCACCTACCAACCGGGTCGAGACTCGTTTCTGACCTCCTCCTCCTCCTCCTCCTCCCTTCCCTCCTCCTCCCTCTTGTCCTCGAGACCCGGCTTCGATTTCATTTCGCACTCACCCTTCGTTTCCACGGTCTCTCTCACGGTTCGTGCGGGGGTGGGATTTTCACGCGGGCCATATGTCCGACGCACCTTTAGGTATCCTCCGCCTTGGAATCCATTTATTCGTATTCTTAGAAGGATAGAGAATTCTGGGTGAAGCAGATGGACGAAAGTTGGAAGGCAGGTATATAGCGAGGCGGGATGAATCGAAGCGGAGAGAGAGACTCGATCGCCGTGAAAAAAAAGGTGGGGACACCTGCTGCACCCGAGGTGTCCGAAAATCTTTCGAGTTTTTCCTCTCTTTCTCCGTTTCCAAACTGTTTTAAATAATTCCGTAGTCTAACTAGGTAGGTAGGAGGACTATTTGTTTTATTCGTTTCTCGATCGATTGTCCGTGCGTTGTAGAGACCGTTGGCGGAGAGAGAATTGCGCGGGGGTCGATAGCAGGTCGGTTGCCGATGAAAAAGCCGAGCGCGACAGACGGCCGCGCGAACGTTTGGCAGTCCCATGGGCCTCCTAGCCCATGGCGGTAAGAACCACCTGCCGCATAGGTCGGTGGGGGCAAGCTGTTCTCGCGCCGTCTACCTTTTCTAACCACCACTGCCTCTTCTCTTCCCCTCCCCCCGCGCTTCTGCCTCGTCTACTGCCTCGTCTTCGTCATGCCCTGCACGTTTCCCTCCGTTTCCCTCCCTTTTCAATCCATCCTTCTTTCCTTCGCGCTACTTTTCTCCGTCCTTGTCGCTCGTTCGTTCGTCTTCCTTAGCCAACCGCTGCCACCTTCGCCACCATATAGCCAGCATCATCGTCACCACCATCCGTCCGACACACCGTGCCTACGTATACCTACGTAGTATGCACGGTATACTTGGGACGAGCGTGCATCGCTCAACAACCAACCGACCGACCAACCGATGCTTGTATGCGTAATGTATGTACGTTGCGCGCTGCGCGCACCAAGCCGTAGTGGGGGATGCGACGTACGGGGGGAGAAGGCGACCGGTGGGGGGTAGCGGCGATGCTACGCGACCCCAAGCTCAGTCGTTGCGCGACCCTCGTCGAGTGTGTTTGCGTTAACGTTTTCCGTGAGTTCGAGTTTTTTTTTTTTAACGCCACTTCGGTTACGTCTCTGTCGCAAAGTGTTCTTATTCTCAAATCAAACTCCGTCCTCCGGTATTCAACGTTCGTTCACACGTTTTTTTCCCGTACCTGTTGTCGACGATCGTCTCCTCTTCTCCCGTTTCTTGACACATTTTTCCATTTTATTTTTGTCCCGCTTTCCCTCCTTTCATCGCGTGTCCGTTGCTACTATTTTTGCATCGGCCAATCGTCTGTCGCAAAAACGGACGGGGGAAAGTGACGTTCTTCCAGGTGCGAAGTAATACGGTCGGTACGATCGAGCAACGAAGGAGATTATTCGCACCGAAGTGCACGAGAACGTGTGCCTAGATATTTAGGTATCGGACCATACGTGCAAGCCTCGAACAAAGGAGTGCCTTCGGACGGACGGTTGCGACGTGGCGTTTTGAAATCGCGCGCAAACCTTCCTTTTTCGTCCGTTTCGCGAAACGGACGGATGCCCGCGATGGAAATCAGCGTGCGAGCCTCGCCGTTCTTCGCCTATACAGAATGCCGCCGTTGAACGCTTGAGAAATCTCTCCCGGAGTGAGGAATTACCGTGCGACGATGGGATACTGCTCTTTTCACTCGGCGGATCTACCTTGCCGGTAGTCGTGATTGTTCGTACATCGCGGGTGCATCGAGTGCATGAGGAAGACACGATCGCCTCAGGGAGGAATCACGACCGATGAAGCTTATCATCTCCGTTCCAACGATTTCGACGAAGGGAGAGAGATACAGTGAGAAGAAAAGGTGTGACAGTGAGACGAGTGATCGAATAGAACGAATATACGGATATGATAGGTGCAGTGAGTCGTTGGGTGTGTTGGCGAGCGTGATCGAGGAGATCGATGCGATCATCGATGCCGCGTGCTGGCAAAATTCGCGCAGCGTCGTCGTCATCGTCGATACTCGGTGAAAGTCGGTGCAACGCGGAACTCTGTCCTCCAACGCGAATGGAGCCGCGCAATTTGCGTGTCTCGTTGTTCCGTTCCACTCGAACTGTTCGTGGAATTCGTTTTGCCGATAGAATGGATAGGATTCGATCGTCGAGAACTACGACGATTATCGCCGTTACTTCGCTGCTGTTGCTGCTGCATCCCGGTGAGTAAAATCCCTGGGGATCGAGAGTTTCGTTTTCGCTTCTCGTTACGTTCGTTCCGAAATCGTTCCATTTATCCGCTTTCGAGGAAAATAGCTTAGTTTTCCTTTTTTTTTTTTTTTTTTCAATTTTTTCCTCCTATATAATTCCGAGAAGATATTACACAGCGTCGTGTCGTCACGATACGTGACGAAATACACTGTTTTCACACACCGGGAGAGGAGAGAAGACAGAAGAAACAGAGTCCTTGCATGGCGTCGCGACTCTCGCGACGTGCCGTGTCGGTATGTCGCAGTTCGTAGCCAAGTTTTGTTGCGCGTCCTTTTAACAAACCCGTTCCGAGCCGCGCTCGAGGCCGAGAAGGCCTCCTTTCGCCTCGGCCAATGGAAACTCCGCGTGTAATTTCAGTTCTCTCGACTTCGTACCAACGGATTGGATTATATGGAACGAAGTATAGAGCGAACGTTCTCTCCCTATTTGATACCGCTTTAAACGCAAATTCGACCGAGCTGCTCTCGATGGCGGACGGGATCGTAAATTTGTTTCGGTATGCAGAACGTGGCTCGCTTAAACAGCTTCTCGTTCGAGAAATAGCGAACGACACCGCGACGGTATTAGGCTTCGTGACGTAGCCGGGCTGCCACAGGTGTCTCCGTGTATACGAGCGACGCGTTAACGCCGCGTCTCGCTTTGCAGCTGCTTCTTCGATATATAATACGGTACGTTAGCGTAACCGTCGAGAAACGTCGATGCTCGTTCGTTTCGATCCGTTCGATCGATTTTTCGACGATACAGCTAAGTAAGTAAGTAAGTAAGTAAGTAAGTAAGTAACTAAATATATGTATATATATATGTATATATATGTATGCACATATATACATCTATACGTATATGTATATGTACATCGAAATCGGAGCTCGTTCGACCACGTTCCATGCACGCTCGTAAAGATAGGAAAACATAACACGGTATAGGTTGGTGTCCCGATAGAAGAAATCGAGCATCGGCTCGATGGCACGCGAGCAAGAAAGCTGTGCTATCGAAAAGTAAACAAGCCACGGCGAGAAACGCGGGGAGGGAAGGCGGGTAAAACGTAAACTACGATGGGTCGATGAATAGCTAAGATGGGGGTTAGAGACGAACGAAGACGGATAGAACGGTCTCGATGGATTTATAGAGAGACAAGCAGACGTAAATATAGACTCGTGCATAGGTAGAGTAAAGATGGGTTGCACGGGGCGCGTAAAGGTGAGAGGAAGGTTAGAGAGAGAGAGAGAGACAGACGGACGGTGGTATGGGTGAAGTAGTTGGAGAGGCAAAGGGGAAACGATCCCTTCGAACGAACGAACCAAGAAACGAGGGAGTGGGGCTTACGTCGCGAACGAGGGGAAAGACGAAGGAAGATGAAGAAGTGAGGTCTCGGCGATACGAACGAGAAGTCAAACCGGTGGCTTTACCGTTACGCGACCCAATGACGAGACACCGACGGATCGTCGCTCCGTCGCGACGTCCATCATTTTCCGTATATATATATATATATATATATATTACATCTATACGTACATCGATAACAATTGAAATCACGATTCCTTGGCGTATATTCTAAGATATATATATATATATACGAATCGTAAAAACTGTCGCACGGGAATAGCTGATTAAAACAGAGGAAATGCACGTGGCGCGATGAAAAGAAAACGAGCTCGATGAAAAATATAGTGGAGGAGGGGGGAGTAATGAGACTCGGTTTTTTTTATTTTCTTTTTTTTTCTAACGAACGGTTTCCTTTCGCTTCGATGTGTTTCAGCAGCGGCACAGGGTCGCGTGGAGGAGACGCAGATGGACACGCACGAGGGGTCGACGGTACAGCTGCAGTGCCGTTTCTCCCCGCCCCGGGAAAACGTAACGTGCTTCTGGTTGACGCACACGAACGATAATCACGACAACGCCGCGATCGACAATCTCTCGTTATCGCCCCAGTACAAGGTGTTTATGAATCTGGAGGAGGGTCGCTACGACCTTCAGATAAGAAACGTCTCGTACGAGAGGGACAACGGCAAGTACGAGTGTCGGGTGAAGGCGAGCGGAACGGGGCACGACCTGCATCGAAAGTTCATCACTCTGACCGTGCTCAGGGCGCCGGGGCCGCCCACCATATCCCCGACCTCGGCCTCCGCGACGGAGGGCCAGAAGCTCGAGTTGCAGTGCAACACGAACGGCGGCAGCCCCGAGCCCGAGGTAAGGTGGTACCGCGGCAACGAGACGGCCGTCCTCCACTCGGGCAGGGCGCTGACGGTCGAGCCGAAGAAGGAGGACGACAGGGCGACGTTCCGTTGCGTGGTGAGGAATCGCGCGATGCGCGAGGGCGAGACGTTGAACGCCACGGTCACCCTCGACGTGAATTATTTCCCCCGGGTCACCGTCGGCCCCGAGAACCCTCTCAAGGTGGAGGTGAACGGGACGGCGAACCTCGAGTGCCGCGTCGACTCGAAACCTGCGGTGGGCATGGTGAGGTGGTGGAGGGACGGCAGCTTCGTGGCGACCAGCTTTCAACACACGATACGAAGGGTTGCCGTCCAGGACGCCGGCAAGTACACCTGCCAGGCGGACAACGGCCTCGGCAAGAGGGGGGAGAGCTCCCTCCTGTTGGACGTGCTCTATCCGCCCACCGTCTCGATAGAGGGCGACCCCCTGAGGATCGCCGAGGTCGAGGACACGGTCACCGTCCACTGCAACGTCACGGCCAATCCCCCGCCCTCCGTGATCGAGTGGCTGCGCGACGGCCGCCCCGATTTTCGACAGCTCGGCTCGATCCTCCGCTTGAGCCGCGTCACCGCCGACCACGCGGCCAATTACACTTGCCGCGCCGTGAACACGATCCACCCGTCGGGCGGCGAGCGGCGCAACTACTCGGCCACCGCGCGGCTCACCGTCCGCGTCAGGCACAAACCTGGCCCCGCGAGGGTCACCCCCGACTCCCCCGTGGCCGTGGAGGGATCCAAGGTGATTCTCACGTGCATGGCGAGCCCTGCCGGCTACCCGGAGCCTAGGTACAAGTGGTGGAAGGAGGGCGAGTCCGGCACAACGTCGATGCCCTCGGTCAACGTGGGCCCCAAATACGAGATCGACTCGGTCCACTTGGGCAGCGAGGGAACGTACAAGTGTCACGCGACCAACGAGATCGGGAACGGCGAGGCGGCATCCGTCAACCTCACCGTCCACCAACCGCCCAAGATACTCACCAAGTTGCAACCGCACGTCACCAGGAAGTGAGTATCCGGTTTCCTCGTCTTTTTCAGTTCCCTCCAATTCTCCTCTCTCTGTCTCTGTCTCTCTTTCGTTCCCGTTTCGTCTTCTTCTTCGAGAAGGGGAAAAGTTAAGATATCGCTGTCGGCGTTGAAAATTGGGTCGGTCGCTAACCTCTGGGGATTTTTAAAAAAGAGAGGGATGGAGATATACACATGGGAGGTAAGGGAGACGAGAAATCCTTCTCTTTCTCCCCTCGCGGGGGGAGGGAAAAAATTCATCTTGGTACAACACATCCGATACGGGATCGCAATTACAATTACGGGACGTAATAAGAATAATAAAGAGCGGAAACGGAATGCTTAATTACCGTCTCTTTGCCGTTAAAAAATACTCCGGAATATTATACTCCCTCTCTGGAAGGACGCGATACAAGATCCTACAATCCGTTCCTGTATTTTTAACGACGAAGAGGGGAAAATTAACCGTCCATTTTATTTACTCGCGTATCTTCGCTCCTCTCTCTCTCTCTCTCTCTCTCTCTGTCCCCTCCTTCCTGGAAAGAGAATGGAAGCAGAATTTTCTTTTCGAGGAAAAAGGAAAAAATTATATTCCAGGGTGGGCGAGTCCTCGTTTCAAGTGTCGTGCGTCGCCCAAGGGAAGCCCCGTCCGAGCGTACGATGGTTGAAGGACGACCAAGAGTTGACCGCGGACGAGAGGCTGTACAAGGTGACTACCAGCGCGTCGGAGGGCCACGGGAACGTGATCACGGTGAACTCGACGCTGAGCTTCTTGGGCCACGCTAGGCCGCAGACGGACGAGATCGTGGCGAGCGATCGGGGCAAGTACACGTGCGTGTTCGTGAACGAGGTGAAGAAGGTGGAGTCGACGATGATGCTGAAGGTGGAGCACGAGCCCATCGCGTTGCACCAGCACGGAAAGGTCGCGTACAACTTGAGGGAGACGGCCGAGGTTGCGTGCAAGGTTCAAGCGTGGCCGAAGCCCGAGTTCCAGTGGAGCTTCGGTACCAACGCCGCCAGCCTCCAAGGCTCTTCGAGCGACGGCCACTACGAGATCTCGACCACCAGCGACAATTACGACGTGTACACCTCCGTCCTCAGGATAACCAACATCCGGGAGTTGGATTACGGGGATTACAGTTGCAGGGCGGCCAACGCCCAGGGCAGCATCACCTCGACCATCAGGCTCCAGCCGAAGGGGGCCCCCGAGAGGCCCATCAACATCACCGCGATGGACATCGGCCCGACCCACGTCGCCCTCCTCTGGGAGCTCGGCTTCGACGGCGGCCTGCCCATCACCAAGTACTTCGTCTCGTACAGGAGGGTGCCGGGTGCCGGCGACGAGATCGTGGCGCCCGACTGCGCCGTGCCGAGGCCGCCCGCCGGCCAATGGCTCGAGCTCGACTGCCGCCGCTCCAACCCCTGCAACGTGACCAACCTCGAGCAGCACCAGACGTACACGTTCAAGGTGAAGGTGTACAACACCAAGAACCACTCGGATTACTCGGACGAGGTGACGGCGACCACCGCCGTGGCAAGGATCCCGGCCCCGTTGAGGGTCAGCTACGACCCGGAGAGCGGCATGTTGGCGATCGGGGTGGGGGCCACCTGCCTCTCGCTCGTCGCCTCGATCGAGAAGTTGGACGGGCCGTCGACCGCCTCCGTCGACGAGTCCCAGTGGAGGATCCTCGACGAGTGGCCGCTCGAGGTGTTGGGCAGCGCGCCCACCCAGAGGGAGGGGGTCCTCGACGACCCGGAGTCCCTGGACGCGAACGAGCCCAGGCTAAGGGTCAGGCTGTGTCTGAAGGCGGACAGGCAGAAGTGCGGCGAGTACGGGGAGGCTAAGAGTGAGTACACAAGCCCCCTCTCTTTTTCTTCCCGCCCCCCTCTTCCCTCGATGAGGGAATCTCACGGTGAGAATCGATCGAGCCGAGTTGATTTTTGAAATTTGAATTTTCGCGCCAGTCGGCCCGTCGTACATCGCCCAGGCCGGCGCACTCGCCACGCCAACCTTGATCGCTCTGGTGGTGAGCGGTGCCGTGTTCCTGTTGTTCGCCGCCCTGCTCTTGCTCTTTTGCCGCTGTCGTCGAAAACACGCGACCAAAGCCAAGGACTACGAGATGGACTCGAACGCGTAAGTGTGCCCCGCCTCGAGGTTCACTCGTAACCTCGAATCGGACGATTTCCACCTCGATCCCTCGTTCCAGGGTACGGCCGAGCCTCGTAGCAGGAAACGGGCAGCAGAGCCAGGCACCGCCGCCCTACTACGCGGAGAACAAAGCGTTGGAGCACAGCTTGGATCACGCTCTGGCCATGGAGGACTCCAAGACCCCAGCTTACTCGCAACCCGGCTACGGATACCATCAACCGAACCACAACATCAACGGTAGGCAGAAACAACGTTTCTTTCTTAGTAATTTTTGCAATAGGAATAATAGGAGGAAAGAAATTTTCCTCGTCTCCACGTGTGCAATTTAACGTTTCTTTCTACCCACTCAGTATTTTTCTATATTTAAAAAAGTGGTGCAAGACGATTCTTCCTCCCTTTCTTCTTCAATCTTTCATTCAATCGTTCTCGGGAAAGAACTCTTCTCGACTCGAGCTTCTTCTTCTTCGAGATCGCACAAATGTACGGAGGATATATGGTTGATAATATTGGTTTGGTTTCACAGGCGTGAACATGGGCTACATGGACAACAGCTACTCGAACTCGAATAACGGGGGCTCGGTGAACTCGCAGGACTCGATCTGGCAGATGAAGTCGGCCGCAGCGAACGGGGTCGGCCAACCCTACGACCTGGCCGGATACGCGACCACCGAGTCGGATTACCCGACCCACCCTCATTACCTCCCCCAGAGGGAGGATTATAGGGAGAGCCATAATCTAAGTCGACAGCAGTTTTGCTCGGAACCATTCGCCACCGTCGTAAAGTCTCAAAAACACGTCGGTGAGTAGTATTCTTTGGTCCATCCCCCTTCCATCCCCCAATCGTCCTCTCCACCACCATCGTCGCCTTGATGAGAACATTCAATTCTATCTGTCGCAAGTTCTCGAGCAATTTAGTTATACGAAAAGTTGGGATCGAAAAATGTTTCAACAGTGTTTTCGACAGTTCCCCGACAGGCTTAATAAACCGATCTCCTCCACCGAAGTCCTTCCGGATATTAGAAATTCTCCTCGGTGATCGAGTGATCCGCCATTTTTGTTCTTTCGTTACCGAATTGTCTTACGGCGTGTTTGTACACCAAGGTGTCAAATACGGGCAGGGATTTAAGAAAGGGGGGTGGAAAGAGACGTGAAGGGTCGTGTCCCGAATTCCGACGGGGAGAGGAAAACGATCACAATTTTTTCGAAGACAAAGACATTATACCTCTTAAACGGGGTATAGAAGAACAGTTGCGACGAAAAGAGGAAAAAAAAAAAAAAAAAAGGAAGAGAAGGAAATCGAGGAAAAACGCTTTACTGAGGCGGAGGAGCAAATTCGAGACCGTTAAAATTCCCAAGAGCTTTCACGTTCTTCCCAGCGAGTGGAGAGACCACCTATCCTCCTCATTCCGCTCCCGTTGCACGTACGCTGCGCGCCGAGCATTCTCTCTCTTTCCTATCTTTCTCTTTCTTTTCTCTCATTCTCTACGTACACTCGTCTGTTTGTCCGACAGATTCGCCTTACGACGTGTCCGGTCTACCCTATCAGGAGAACTACGACGAGGACGCGAAGCCGCCGCAGCAGGTCAGCCTGTCGTACGACGAGAGCCTGGAATCGGGATACTCGACCCCGAACAGCCGGGGGCGGCGGATCATCCGCGAGATAATCGTTTGAGATCTGCCTACCGGCTCGCGAGCCGGAACAACCACGACCCGCACCACGTGGCTATAGCACCACGCCGCACCCACCGGCCCCGCGTATCATCCGGTGGACGTACCGTCGCGCGACCCTCCCCCCCGCCACAGGATGGAGATCGTGATCGAGAATCCCCTGGAGTCGTCGACACCTCCTCCTCCTCCTCCGCCACCTCCGCCTCCGCCTCCTCCTCCTCCTGCGCCGCCGCCATCCTCGTGGAGGATCGCCTCGCCTAGCGCGACCGGCTTCCCGTCGCCCAACGTAGTCGCAACCGCGGCTACAACCACCGTGATGACGATAACAATCGCCGAGAATCCCACCGCAACTACCGCCCTCTACCCCCTACCCACCACCCCTCTGCGCTTTTCCTATCGAGAAACGTACGCGGTAAACGCGCCCCCCTTCGCCCCCACCGTGGATCATCCGTATTCCGCGCGACGCGCCTCCCATCCCCGAGGAAGATCGTCGTACGACGGCGAGCATCCGGACGGCGCCTCGCCGCCCACCGTTCGCCGCATCGACAAGTCGGGATTGTTGGGCATCGCCGGGGCGGAAACGCCAGCCGCGAGGATCGACCTCGGATCGGTTAGGTTCGGGACGAATCCGGGGATCGGGACCGGGATGTTGTCGCCTCGCCGATTCGAGTGCGTCGGGCAATTGGATCCGGTGCCGGAAGCGGGGAACGCGGTGGCAAGCAACAACGCACGGAGCAACGTTCCGAGGACGGAGCAAGAGAGAAGAGAGCAGCGTCGCGTCGAGACGTTGTCGATGGTCGATCCGACGAGACCGATCGCCGAGTTCGGGGACGGTGGCAATTCGATCGTGGTCGGTACACAATCGTTAAAGAGTTTCGAGCGCGAGTTTCGCTCGAGAGTCGGCGTCGAGTCCTCCTCGAGCAAGGACGTTTCCGGTTGTCGGGCAACGTTTCAATCGCAAGAAAATTGCGAGGCGAGGGCGCGAACTTTGGAACGCTTGTCGAGGCTCGTTCAAGGAAGGAGCGATCGTCGCGCGTCGGCGAGATATACCGAGACCCGCTGCGATTTCCCGTTCGAGGTTCGAGGGGGGACGACGTACTCGGATTTCGAAGGGAGTTCGAGCGTTCCGTCGAACAGAGCGATCGCGAGTACCGTGACCACGTCCACGACCACGGTCGCGGTGTCCGCGTTGGGGGGAATGAACGCGAGAGAGGAGGATGCGAAAGGATCGAAGGAGCGAGCGCCTGAAGAGGAGAGAGCGGAAGCGGAGGGGTGCGAGCACGGGCCAACGAGGAACCCTTTGAAGGACGGGGAATCCTCGAAGAGGGCCGACGAATTCGCGGACAACGACGGGATCCAAACGCTTCGAGTGATCATTTTGTCGGAACAATTGTGAAAGTTAAAGGGCAGCTGATCGTTTGGAAAAGGAGGAGGAAGAAGGGAATGGGGGGAGGGGGGAGAGGAGAAAAAAAAAGAAAAAAGAAAGAAAAAAGGAAAAAAAAAAGAAGGGTGAAACTCGTTTCTCGCCGATCGATAATATCGTTCGATTTGTGTATTATATTTAAGTAGCGTGTAAGTAATTCGCGACAAAGATGAACGATCGAGTCTTGGGAGAAGATAATTCTCGCATAAAGGCTGACGCGATGCCATAAGAGGCCATAAACATTTCGAGGAACAAAGTTGGAAACGAAAAAGAGGGGGAGAGAAAGAGAGAGAAAGAGAGAAAAAAGAGGAGAAAATATCGACGTATGTAATTCGTCGTGTGTATTTACGTGTAACGTCGGGGCTCGAACGTGTCTCGACGATTCTCGCGGAATTCGATCGCTCACGTTCGAGTTTCGACGCGTTTACGCATTTTATACTTTTTTATATCGTGGACGATGCCGTCGACTCGAGCGACGATCCCCGCGATCGGGGGACATTTTTCTGTATGTCATGTACCATAACTCGACTGCGCCGTGACGCGCTTTTAGTAACTTAAGCAATAAGTCTGACGTTCGACAGTGGCGGCGATTCGATACGTGCACGCTCGCGCGCGCGCGATCGATCGATTTCGCCTGACTGCAACGTTTTCGAACGTTCGTCTGTTGTAAATAACGGTAAACGTATCAGTACTTAACCGAAGTGGGACGCGTGGCCGTGTTGTGGACAGCCCGAGGGATTCCAACGAAGAATTCCAACAGCCTCGTTCTCCTTTCGTTCCGTAACGTGTTTCCGTACGAGCACGTGTATACACGAGGGGAGAAGGACGATTAAGCGAAGAGAAAGTGGAATACTCGATGGAATACTCTGTGACGCGTTGCCCGTGTCTCGCGTTAGAAAACCGCGAGAATTCACTATCGCGGTTCCAATCCGAACTAACGATAGCTACGCTTTTAACGTTGAAAGGATATTTCTTGTCTCGCGCATCCGTGCGCTCCTTTAATTTCGTAGTATTAACGCGGCGCGTTTTAGAAATATCGCGTAATGTAGCGACCTTCGTTGAAGTTCTTATTTTTGTACCGCTCTTGCGAACGCCGTCGACGTTCGTGACGAAAATCGTGTTTCAATTCGTGTTCTAGTACTCGTGTCAAAATATACGCGCGCTATTAGGGGAGGCCGCAGAGATATATAGGGATAAAGGAGAGAAAGGAGAAAGAGAGGAGGATAGAAAGAAAAGAAAAAGGACCAGCCGGATCGTGTTCGTTCCTTTCGACTTGTGATCTCATTTCTTCGCCGAGTTACGAAGATGATTTCTTTTTTTTTATCGTCTGGGGGAGAACGGGCGAGCTTTTTTATCGACCGCGGGACGGTGTCTCCTTTATTCGCTGCTATTAGAAATTCCTTTTCGTTTTTTTTTCTTTTTTTTATTCCATTTTACTTCTATACGATTTTTCATCCACGCGTTTCTTTCTTCTAGTTGATATATATATTCAAATTTTATCCACAATTTTAAAAACGCGACAGGACGAAATAAAAAAAATACGTCTCCGAGTAGATTCTCGGTCGTTTCTCGATACATCTTGGACCGCTACTACATCGTCTCCGGAAGCGATTGGAAATCACCGTTCTTCCGCCGTTTTCAACGACAAACCGACCGACCGACCGACCGACCTCCCGACCAAACAAATTTCACCGTTTCCGGGAACGGAAGCGTTACCGCGAGAAGATACGCATCGTCGAACAAGGTCCCTGCCATACCGAGTGTCGGTCGGAGTGATTTCTACGCGTGTAGCGCGTGCTCTACGCGCGTCGACAGAGGACGCTCAAAGCGTCGCGTTGCGCGCGCATCACGTCCGCCGCATGCGTGTCGCGTGCAAATTTGAAATTGATATATATCGATCGACACATATATATATATATCAATTATCGTCCATTATAGTTACGATATTATTACGAATTATTATTTGTACAAATTTTATGTTGCGATATAAAATAAACGATAAAACAACAACGTCCCCGTTGTTGCTCCTTTCGAAAACCCGATCCTCCACCCGATTCGATCGAAACTTACCTTCGGGAGTAATCAAACGATAATCGAACGAACGATCGAAGCAATCAAAACTCGGGCTTGTTGAAAGTCACCCCGATTATTATCGGAAACGAAAACGTACACATCGATAATCCTTCCTCGAGAACACCTCCCCCCTCGCGTCTCTCGCATCCCGATTGCACGAGCTTGCGCATTTCGAACGATGACGACTCAATGCAAAACAGTTCCCCTCCCCTGTGTTTATATCGTTAGTATCGTCGTACGCTACGCTAGTTTCGTTTCTCGTGCGTAAATTTCCAGAGATAGAAAAAAAAAAAAGTGACAGTGACGACAGTGAATTTCAACGGTTCCGTCCCTCTAAAAACCATCGTTTAACATATCTCCGCCGATATTATATAAATTTTCACCAGGACAGGAAGAGCTGCTCGTCCGAAAAAAAACCTCGAACGACGAAGAAGAAACAGAAGAAAATATCGCTCGAATGGAATTGCCTCCCATCCACGAAAACTTATTACCACCATTCTCACCGTGCAATCAACGAATCGACTCGGTGTTCGCGAACGTTTGTCGAGCGACCAAAGCGTCCTCACTCACCACTGTAACGGCCGATAAACGATCGATAAAGCGGCCCCGTAACGAGACCGCGTTCACACCACAGTTTTCACACCGATCCACCCTCATCCCCTCTCTCTCTCTCCACAACCAAACTCATCAACCCCAAATTCCATAATTCGAAATTGAACAACATATCGTCGCTCGTCGAAGATGCTCGAGAAATCCAACTAGAAAACACTCCTCTCTCGCGTGTATACACATACATATATACATACGCGCGTCTCCCGCACGATCGAGAAAGGATATGAGACGGGGGACGGGAGTGGCGACGCGTGTCCCTCCTTTCCCGACGAGGGGCGAGCGATCGAGGAGCCGGTGATCGTTCCTTCCGCGAGGAGCACCGCGCTGGGGAGAGGGCGGGCGACGACTGGCGCGTACCGCCGCGGGTAACGCTGGGTCGAGGGCGAGCGGCGTATCGACCGAGGGGGCGGGATGGAGGGCGCAGCCGCGACAGTGCCGCCACAGCGGACAGGTCCAAAGGCTATGCGCGGCATAGCCCGCTTCTGTATCAACACGTTCAGAGTGTTCTACGCGAGGGCCGCGTTCGCGAGGCCCGCGCCCGTTCCTCTACCCTCGTCCAGCCCGACCACCGCCGCCGCCGCCGCCACCTTCTCCCATCGTCACCGTCGTCTCGTCGCCGCAACCGAGGAGGAATCGTCGCCGTCGTTCGAGGCGATGGGCAACCTGCAGAGCGACGCGAGGAGGAAAGGGAGGAAGGGTAAAGGCGGTGCGAGCACCGCGTCGTCGGGCTCCGTGGAGGATGGCCTGGAGGACGTGGAGGCCGAGGATGGAGGAGGAGAGGCGGAGGAGGAGACGGTTGGAAGGAAGCAGGAGCAGGAGGGATCCAGGCAGGCGGGGGTCGGCGTAGAGAAGAGGCTCACCCAGAAGAGGCAAGCACCGAAACCGCCTCCTGCCTCCACCGC